GGGGAGTGAGAGAAGCAGGCTTCCCACTGAGCAGGGATCCTGGAGGCTCCATCCCAGGATCCCAGGATCACTACCTGAACTGAAGGCAGAGGACGCTTAAGACTGAGCCACCCAGTCACCCAGGATTAAAAAGGCTTTTAAATGCCTTTTAGAGCCACCTTCATATCACAAATCCTTGAAGGATTAACTGATTAACTTTAGTTTATAAATGAAAACTAGTGTTCCAAGAACCTATGTACATCACTTAGCATAATCTGGCTGTGTTGAAAATGCCCTCTTTTCTGAGGAAAACCCTACTAAAAACAGCAGGACTATCTTTTACTTACAATCTCTTGGGACCAGACGCTATAACATTGGTGGCCGTTGACCAAGTGGGTCACTCAGGACTTCCAAAATGTGAAGACTGACCTCTACAGTTGTGGGTAATAAGCCAGATGGTAGGCACATTATGGCCATTATCACACTTTCATAATACCATTGATTAAGGTTAATAAAAAATCAATGACAATTTAAAATTATTTGTATAAGGAAAACATTACTAAGAAAACAAACAAACCAATCAACACAGACAGTGGCTAGTCAAGGAAACACCTAGCAGACAAATCCTTAAGAAATTCTTCTAGTACTCTTAATCATAGGAAACAAACTGAGGGTTGTTAGAGGGGAGGCGGATGGAGGGATGGGGTAGCTGGGTGATGAACATTGGGGAGGGTATTTGTTATATAATGAGCACTAGGCATTATATTAGACTGATGAATCACAGACCTGTACTCCAGAAACAAATAATATATTATATGTTAATTATATGTTAAAACTAAAGTTGAATTAAAAAAAGAAAAGAAAAAGAAAATAGAAAAAAAATCCTCTACTTACCAAGTCTGGGAAGGGTCCATAAAGGACTGAGGAAATTCTTGTAAGCAAGTTGCAAAATGTTCTTTAGGGTGTGCCAGTATAGGGTCATTTCCTCCCACCCACCTCACTCCCCGCTGTGGCATGCTCTTATTTGGGGTTGGGGCGGGGAGTGGTCCGCCCCAGTTGAATACTAAATTAGATGAGATAGTGAGCTCTCTTGCTTAGAGTTGGTAAGTAGAAGACATGCCACTGTGGAATGTTTGATCCTAAAGGAAATTGATGATTTATTGGTGGGAATAAACCTACTGATGCCTTACCTTCTAAGGTTTGGGTGACTTAATTTCTACTGCATATTTCATTGACTTCCTATGTGAAAAGAGTGAGATGAGGCCTATAAAGAAGGTACTTCAGATAATCTAATGCGGGGTTTTGGACTTGGTATTACCAACTTGATGTAAGTTCTCTCAAAAACATCACTTGTTTTTAACAGAGTTTTAGATTCACCCAAGTTTAAAAAAAACAAAAGAAATGTACCACTAAAATCCACAGAAACCTAATGAATGTACCAGAGGGACCAGAAGGTTGACAATTCTTTTTCAGTGATATGATTTTTAAAAAATATTTTATTTATTTATTTGCCAGAGGGAGAGAGAATAAGAAAGCGAGAGAGTACAAGCAAGGGGAGTGGCAGGCAGAGGGAGAAGCAGGACCCCCACCCCCAGCAAGCAGCCCAACAGGGACTCAACCCCAGGATCCTGGGATCATGGTCTAAGCTAAAGGCAGATGCTTAACTAACCGAGCCACCCAGACGCCCTTCCACTGATGTGATTTGAAAAGCAGGAATTTATTTTTGTAGATGACCATTGCTACAAATATATTAATTTCATAGTTTCTTCACTCTTTAAATCTCTTTTCTCCTATATTTTTGCCAGTGCATATAAATACTTCTTGCACTTTGCTTTCTAATTGGAATCAAGACATCTTAAATGGATTGTATTTGAGTTGTAGCATATTTTCTTGATAAGCATCATAGATTTCCTCAGGACTATAATCTCTGGGGATATTGGTAGCATTGCCATGATCATTATAAAAGAACATGTATGATCTTTGTCACATGTGAAAGCATCATACAAATCATTGTAAATGAATTTTTCCCCCTTTCAGAAGGTCCTTCTCTAAGATATTTGTCATATAAGACATGGGGTTGTTGTTTACACTGATGGCTTGTAATCATCAGTGGCAAGATTATTTTCATATGCTTGGTAATATACATATTATTAATATACTTTGGATTATATTTGGTAATTTATATAGACTTACAGAGCGTTGTTCAAATTTATTATTTAATTAATGGTCAAAGATATTATTCCTTCTTTTATACATGAGCAAACTGAAGCTTGGAGCTGCAAAGGAAGTTTACTTAAGATACATAGATGGCAAGCCGCGGAGCCCAATGTAGAATTATTTTGTCCACATTTCATATGCAGCATCTTGGGATTTGCAGAATAACTATAAGACATAGTTTTTGCCTTTAAGGAAGTTGTAGTTTATTTATTTATTTCTTTAATTATTCATTTGAGAGAAAGAGAGAGAGTGCACAAGCAGCAGGGAGGGTCAGAGGGAGAAGCAGACTCCAGACTGAGCAGGAAGCCGGATGTGGGACTCAATCCTGTGACTCCAGGATCCTGACCTGAGCCATAGGCAGCCACCAAACCAACTGAGCCACTCAGGCAACGCTGGAAGGAACTTGCAGTTTAGTTGGGAAAATGACTGATGTCATGAAAACAGCTTGTACAGGTAGTAGATAGAGGATGGTCCTCAGACCATATGGCCTTTGAAGCTCATAGAAACCTGTTTCTTTGAATTGAATAAAGTTGCATGTAAACTATAAGACAAAAAAATGCCTTTTCACTGATAAAAGGTGCTGTCACAGACACCTGTTGTCTAAGGATCTCGAGACGTTTGAGATAGTCTGTGAACCTAGATTTACATCCACCCAAACATACAGCACCCACATTACCATGTGTCTTCCCAACAACCATGTAGCACACTACACAGGGGAAGCCAAGGTTTGTCCTTGAGAAATGCATCCAGTTTTCCCTATTAACCAGGCCTGTGGAAGGACCAATAGCATGATGCATGTCAGGTAAATTGATCGCACATGCTACTCCAAGTGACCTCAGGCTCCCTTCCTCTGTAACACCACCAACTGGTGGTTAATATTCAGCTGAGCTATTAGGTAGAACACAAAAGTAGGGACAAGATTTGCAATCTGTTAATGTTTTCTTAAGATCTTGTTAAATAAAAGCTAAATCCATCATTAGTGGAAGTAGTAATAAATTAGGTGCTGTAATTAGCAGTCCAAATGCATACCTTTGTAAAAGGTTATCTTTAATGTCTTTTTTTTTTTTTTTTCATTAACGTAATTGTGTGTTTTGGAAACTCATAGCCAAGAGGGAGACCTAGGAACTGCAAAAGTACGATTGCTTAGTCAAACAGAAGTGGATGTACTCCAAGTAAGCCAACATGTAATTAATTAGAATATTGTTGGAGTAGTTAAGATCTTTTGGAGGGAAAAAAGACAATTTAAAAATAATTTTTAGTATTTTGCCCTTTATGGAGACTGAGTACATAAAGCATACCCACAGAATCTGGCATGGAGTAGGTATTTAAAAAAAATGCTAGCTTTTAGGAAGTTAGTGTTTGTGACAATCAGAGAATGTAAATCCTCTATCATTGGCTTACTGAAGCTTCTCTGTTCCCAGAGACTTTCCTGTTTCACTGGGGCTCATATCTCATTGTATACTAAGGCTGACTTGATTTGTCTCAGTTCTCAGACTTTTTCTTTTGAGAGAGAGAGAATGGGACTGTATGGATATGAAAGCAGGGAGAGGAGAGGGAGAAGGAGAGAGAATCCTAAGCAGTCTCCATGCTCAGTGTGGAGCCCAGTGCAGGGCTCTACCTCACCACCCTGAGATGGTAACCTGTGCTAAAATCAAGAGCCAGATGCTCAACAGACTGAGCCACACAGGCACCTGAGGCTTGGAGTTTTCTTAACAAGAGGACCATGTATTACTCATCTCTCTTCCCCCAGCAACTCTCACATCATTCAGAAGGTAATACCTTCTAAATAAGTATTTCTTAAATTTGTTGATTCCAGTTTTTCTCTGTTCATTATTTCGTATTGACCATCTGGTTTCAACTAATAAGAGTCAAAATTGAATCTGTTTAGGTAAGAACAACATCATCCCCCACATTTGTTATCTCCACAGCCTACCTACCTTATCTCTTTGGCTCTCTTTGGCTTCCCCACACTGCTCCTCTGTTATCAGAAATTCAATTCTCACGATGCTGTCTTTCCAAAACAAAATCAGATTCTGTCATTCTCTTGCTCAGAAATTTCTCATGCTTTCACATTCTCTCCGGGTTAAATATCTCAGCTCCTTTTCATGAAATGCAAGGACTTTCCATGAATAGACTCTTCTTTTCCCCTCCAATTTCTTCCGCCACTTACCTCTTTTACTTTATACTCCAACTATATGGCATCTGTGTTATATTTCCATTTCTCTGAACTTTTTTGACTGCCTGGAATATCTCTCTGACCCGCAACACATACCTTGCTTTTCTAGCCTTGCAGCTTCTTGCCTGTTTTTCAGTCCGCAGCCTAGTACTTATCTCTTAGGAATCTTTCCCTGATTCTCACAGCAGACTTAGGTTTTTTTGCTTTGCTCCCCCTAGGACTACTCTTGGCCCCAAGCCTACACATATCTTTATTAAATCAAATTTCTGATTGTACTTAGATTGTGGGTTTGCTTGTCTATCTTTCGTCAAGGCCATGGGCTCCTTGAGAGTAGGGTAATTGGCCTGTATTAGTAACTCAAGACACATGTGTTGAATGAACGACTACATGAAGAGTGAATGCATTTGATAGATGGGACCATAAAACTGTCTTTATCAAGTCAGAACTTCAAAAAGAAAAATAAAAATCCTTGTAATGGATATTTGTTGAAATGATTAATATTCCATGTCATGGTGGTAAAGACAGCAATAAAAGGAACAAAAGGTATCAAAAATTCAGTCCTTTCCCAGAGGCGCATAAACCAGATGTCCTAACACTTTTTTTTTTCCCTCTTACTTTCTGTGTTAAGAAAGAAAGAGACAGGACGACACAACCCACAGGAAATTCTCCATGACATTAAAGAAGATCACGAAAGCCGCTCTGCAGCTGGTGAGATCAGTGAAAATAAACTCAGTGATTTAATGTAAACTGCCACTTGCTTCTACAGAAAAGAAACATGGTACAAGTGTTCACAGAAAATGGTGCAGCCTGAGAGGGGTCCATATTGGTTTCTGAGGACTGGGTCTATATCTGAGTCATCTTTGCTTTCCTGATCGTGCCTAACATAGGCTGTGTATGTAGTAGGTGTTTGTGAAATGCAGGAGGATAGGAATAATCAGATCTGTTATCTTAGAGGCATTGGATAAGTAATCTAAAGAGTATTGGATGTTGTTTTAGTCTCTGAATTTTGGCACCTACGTGATACAAACTCTGGTGGGAGCTTGTCACTAAAAACAAAGCAAAACAAAAGAAATTAAGTGGTTACTACACAAAAATGTATAATGTCTACCAATACTATAAGCATGAGAAGGAAAATGAATCTGGCCAAAGGTGTTTTGAAATGAGACTTCTTGTGTGGTTAGAAACATCATGTCCTATCATGTGTCTGCTGCTTTGCTCCATCTTATCAACTTTGGGACGAAGGGTGGGAAACCACTGAAGGTTTCATCTCGTGCATTCAACCAAGAGCCTGTCTGCTTCAGTCCTGGAAACAGATGGTTTTCTCTTTTTCTTTCACCAAAATCTTTCACTCATCTGAGTAGTCCTTTTTAATTCTTCTTAAAGTCTTTTATTATTCATTTAATTTATTCAGCAAATATTCACTGAACCCCTACTCTATGCCAGCCTCTGTTCTATGCTCTGGGGACACAGAAGGTTCCTGGCTATTTCTGACCTCAAGGAGTCATGAGGAGCTAGTCCTGCAAGACCAGTGATAAAGAATTAGTACATCTTGTGCTGGGTGTGTGTGTGTGTGTGTGTGTGTGTGTGTGCATATGAAACTTATGAGGGGTAGGCGGCAGGGGCTGTGGGGCTGGAGGAACAAGAATTATTTAGACTGGATTGTCAGGAAAGGTTTTCCAAGGAAGTAACATGTTCCCTCATTTTATCCCTTTTCTAGCTTGTATCCATGTGACTGACACAGACTCTAGCTTAGATGAATTTGATGCTCATAGCAATTCCTGCTGTATCATTTTCTGCTTTCCTTATCCTCCCATGGCTGCCATTCATATCTAGAGGAAAAAACCAATTTTCTTCCCATGCTTTCAGTATTTCATGAAGCCACAAAGAAAATCAAATAGCAATAACCAAGGGTCTGAGGGTCCCAACACACACACACACACACACACACACACACACACACACACTCCAGAGCTGTTTTTTGCCAGTTAAGTGAATATTATGAAGATTAAATGAGATGATGCTTTAAAATATTTTGTGCAGTGCTTGATACCTAGTCAGTACTCAGTAAAGATTAGATATTATTATGATGATGATAATCAAGGCCTTTATTATGATCTGATAGACATTTGTAAAGCTCTTGCTGGATATATAATTCTCTGAAATACTCCCATTTAGGCATCACATTTTCTAAGTGTTTCCTGGGTACAGAGCTGCGGTAGGTGTTGTAGGGAGCAACAGGGTACTGGAGAAGAACGAGCTCCTCTCTCTTCACTGCTTATGAGACAAAGCAGGCACCACCAGTATAAGACAAATGGAAAGAACAATTCTGTTTACAAAGCAGCCTAATTGTGAGCACCAATGACTACATCCAAGTGAGAAACACAACTCTTTAGGGGAGGATGATTAAACTGTCACCTCCTAGACCTTTTATCTCTTAATCATAGCTCTCCTTCCCATGGAGAAGCATCAAATCTTGGAAACGTAGTAGGAGGTCATTCAATTATTTACCACTTTGAAAATGGTGAAGAGAGGGGCCTAGGTGGTTCAGTCAGTTAAGGGTTTGACTCTTGAATTTGGCTCAGGTCATGATCTCAGGGTCGTGAAGTCAGGCTCTGTGCTGGGTGGAGGTTGCTTAAGATTCTCTTTATGCCTCTCCTTCTGCTCTCCCGCCCCCACCCCAAAAAACAAAGAAATAAAGAAAGTAAAAGAAAAAAAATTGGTGAGAGAACTAGACAAGAGAAAAGTACTCAAGGACAATGTTGGTTGATTCAAAGTGACTCTAACCTACTTGTCATATAACCACTTTCTTTTTGGGTTTGATTCCTTTGCAATTTCAATTGGGATAGTTTGTCACAGGCAGAAAACAAAACAAGGTTTGTGATTCAAATATTTCAATCTCTGTGCCAACAGGGATCCAGAGTTTTCAACATATAAATGAGAAATGGTGGAACTTACCAGACAGAGTGGCTCTATTCATAGACCTGCTCCAGAAATCCTGTTGATGAATTTCTGAAGCCAAAGTACTACTTTGATTTGTAATTTTACTTTCTTCTCAGTCCCTGTTTTAGTTATTCTTTCTATGTAACAAATCACCCCAAAACTTGGTAGCTTACAACAGAAATATTTTTCATCTCTATGACTGACTTCTGTGGGCGAAGTTTAAGAAGGGCTTGGCTGAGTATTTCTGTTTCTGTGTGCTCATGCACATGTGTGCTCATGCAGGTATGGAGGACAGGACAAGTAGGGACTGGAGCCACCAGTTGTCTTTGTGTCATCCCAGGACAGGCTAGGTGGTGTTCCCATGTGGGTTAAATTGGGCTTCCTCATAGCATGACTGCCCTGGGGCAGTTGGCTGCTTAAAGAGCAGCTCAGGGCTCTGGCATGAATATTCTAGCTCACCAGGTGACGTGGGCTGGGAAGTCACACAGCATCACTTCTGTTTCCTTCTAGTGCTTACACCAGCCTGCCCATGCTCAGGATTGAAGGGGGCGCTCAAGGTCCTTGAGGAGCACTTGCACTGGGAGATAATGTTGGGATTGTCCTTGGAGAATACAAGCTTCCCCAGCTTCCTAAGAGCAGGTTGCAGGAGCAGGGTTGGCCTAGGAGACTGCCAACTTTCTGATGGAATGGAAATGTGCCTTCTAGCATTTGTACTTGGAAACTAAAAATAAGTAGTCAAGAAAACCTAGCTACCAGGTCACAAAACACTAAAGGGGAAAAAACAACCTTTATTCTGCTTTTTTTTTTTTCTTTACTACTGCCATGTTTTATTCTATAACGAAAAATAATGATCCCAGATCTTTATAATAATGTCACCATTTTAAACACTGACAATAGACCTAAAAAAAAAAAAAAAAGAAAAAGAAAATGAAAAAGTTGATTCTGAGAAGTTTTATCCTCCTGCTTGAAAGAAGATGCAAAAAAGCAAAAAATGGAGACATCTTATCTCACAGTCACAGGAGGAAAGTGAGAAAACTGTGCATACATTATGGGAGACCATAGAGGGCTAAACTGGGGCTTGAGTCCCTGGTTTGTGTTTTGTGTTTTGTTATTTTCAAAATGGTTTTGTTCTGGTGGGGCTGATTGGAAATATGGAAACCACACATTCCTGAATAATGAATTAATATAAATCAAATTTCAGGTGTAGGACTCTGTTACCTGAAAAATGAATTATAATTGAAAATTATGCATTTCTGGGGTGCCTGGGTGGCTCAGTGGGTTAAAGCCTCTGCCTTCGGCTCAGGCCATGATCTCAGGGTCCTGGGATCGAGCCCCACATCAGGCTCTTTGCTCAGCAGGGAGCCTGCTTCCTCCTCTCTCTCTCTCTCTGCCTGCCTCTCTGCTTACTTGTGATCTCTCTCTGTCAAATAAATAAATAAAATCTTTAAAAAAATTATGCATTTCTTTTTCATCCTATGTAAGGATTTTAGCCTCTCCTAGTAATTGTATTCAGGACCACTTAGAGCATATGATGTGGTGGAATTCAGCTCTATTAATAGACAGCTACTAATATGCTTTTGAACTTGACTTGTGAGGAATCAGTATTTGTCATCTGTTTCATCCCATTATGATTTTGAACATGAGCACTCTTTCATGTATACTCAGGAGAAGGCATATTCTTCCACAACAAATGGTCCACTTACTTAGATTTGTCTCTGGCCCCAATTTGCTTCCAATGTTAGCATGGTATTTACTTCAAATTTTCAAACCATGTTTCCAATATGGCTTTAAAATCTCTCTCTCTCTCTCTCTGTTGAAAGGAGGAAAATATCTCAAGTGGGTGCAAAAATTTGTGGAAGGAGTTGTTGCTAATTTTTCATTCTACTTGCCGAACTTTTAGCCCTTCTGCTTTGCATCTTTAGAAAGACTCTTGGGGGCCGATCCAAAAGAAGGCTACCCTCCGAATGAGGGAAATAAGTCCGTCCTTACCTGTGGGATAAATGCCTTGGGAAGCAAACAAGGCCTGGGTAGCATAATGGTCCCCAGAGTCTCCCTGCTCCTGCAGCAAATAACCCCGGAGGGAAAAAGCATACAGGAGAGCTCATCAAACCAGGACAATGCATCCAATTAGCAGAACACTCCACAAATTTCCCACCCTCTTGTAAACAGAGAACCTCAGGGTTTTTCTGCAGTAGTTCTGCCTGGGAGCGTGGCTGCTTGGAATTCCACTCTGAGAGTCTGAATGGGCTCTTAGCACAGATGGTTTGTGGGAGCTTTTTCCCGAAGCCAATACGGTCAGAAATTTTCTCCAAAAGAAAGTGAGAATATCAACAGCAGTAATGTCTTCATTTTATCTTACTTAAACTAACTTGTATGTAAGCCCAGACCCCCCCCCTTTTTTTTCCAGATCTGCCTACAGTTACAGTTAGAGTATCAAGGCAGATTGGGAAACAGTCTGTTCTTTTGTCACAAGGTAGGTAGATAAATGCAGCCGAACCCCTGAGACGGTTCTGTCATTTTCAAGTACATTGAACATCAGGGGCATCTCTGGGTCACACCATCCTGGGTTGGTCTGACGTGTCACAACTGTTTTCAGGTTGAACTTGAGGAGTATGTTTCATGCAGTACCACCAACTCAAAACCAGAAATCACTCGCTGGGGGTCCCGTACCTCCAGATACCGCCATCTTCCTGTATTCAGGAAAGAATCTCGCTTTCAGCAACTGTTGCTCAAACCTCAAATGCACGAAAAATAAGCTAGCTTAAGAA